TTTGTGTAATTTAGTGTCTCCAAAAATCTTTTAATTAATAATAAAAATGTTTCCAGAAAAAACAGTTAGAAATATTCCCTTCTGTACTTTAAAAACAAATAACAAATGAATGCAACAAAATTTAAATTAAAGTTGAACAGAACAAGCTAAAAACAAAAAATGTGTTCAAATAATGCTGTTTCAGCTGGAAAAAAAAGAAGATATATATTAAATGTAGATACCCTGCTCTCACTTTCCTGCCCATTTTGTTTTGCGAGTACTGAGGCTCTTATCACTAAATACCTATGTCATTGTGGCTCATTTACATTCAAGGACAAACAAAGCTTTCTAACTCAGTCTAATTTACGAGACCTGTTTAAATTCCAAATTGACAATCTCAACATTTAATGGTGTATATATTTGACAGAAAAAAAAAACTTCACAAATTTGCAAAAGTTGAAATGCAACCGCAACTAAAGAGGACAAATAACAAAGGGCATGCACAGTACTTACCAAAAGGGCATTAGTCCTGAGATGCGAATCTGGCGACCTATAGAGGAAACGACCACATGTTTCCAGGAGATTGCAGGCCATTTCAATGTTGTGATGGGAGAAATCATGGAGCAACATCTGTATGCATAAACCATATTTGAGTAAGCACATGTACATTGCAATATAGACAATAATAATAAGCATGGTGCAAGATTCTGTGTATTATTACATATGTACTGCAGTTTATTTTGATTCATCCCTGAAATCAAAATCGGTATTTCCACAACCCATATGCAAATGAGGTCTGAGAGCAAACAAAGTAGTCCCTTCAGGAGTACCGTTTTTCGAAATAAACAATATTTAGAAGTACGATATTTTCCCCTTGGGGTACATGAATATACTTGCCGAGTGAAATGAAATTTGAACAACAGTAATGGTACTTTTAGGCAGTCACTTATTTTGAGTCAAACTAATTTGCATATCACCCACGCAAGATGCGGTGTATCTTGCGGCCGTACAGCAGAATACACCGTATCTCGAGTGAAAATAACTTCCATACGCAACAAAAGCCACGGGGAGGGTGTGGGGTTCTGTCATAGTGTAATACTTTCAAATTTACAAACAATATAAACTTAAGAACAAATGTATCAATGAGATTTAGAGTCACTACATCATTTATGATTGAAGATACATGTACAAGTCTCAACATTGTACAAAATCCTCATAGAACCATTAGGACAAAACTCAAGTAAAATCCAAAATCAAATGTTGGCCTTATAATAATTTCAGAAATATCAGATATTGGATAAGTTATTAATTCTGCAATATGTATCTTTAAGTCATCATACAGTTTTCATGAAACCTCACATGAAACCTCAGCTGATGATGCTGGACTTGAGGGGTAATTATTTTTAATAACTTATGAACCTACCTTTAAACAGAGTAGTGTGTCAGTTTTTGGAAACATCTTAAATTTGGTTAGTTCCCCTATAAAGTAAACAAATACACATTGTACATAAACAGCAAAGCTAGCAATAGATGCATGTATGTGAAATAAATGTATAACCATATTTTCTCAGTTAAAAGCCTATTTCTTATGGAAGCACACATAAAAATAAAAATTGCATTTATTGTATGCTAGATCAATAAGATCAGACGTATTATGACCATAGACAAACTTCTCTCTCAACTAATAATACATAACTAATAGAGCAATCATAGCTCAGATCTCAAAAGAGAGAAATACATACATTAAGCTTTAGTGATATCAATCCATAAAAACTAATGATGAATATACATGCGATTTCTAAACTTCCTGTTATTATCAAGAGTTTTCCTTTGACTACTAACATTTTATTTTAGAATATATTGAGTCCAGTAATTTAAATTGTTTTACACATAAATGCATTATCAAATCTACTTACCAATGAATCTTACAGTTTTTATTTTTGATTCTAAGTTGATTTGGTCTTTTTTTCTAACCTGATAATCAATAACAACAAAAAAAAAAACAAACATGTGAATGAACATCTGGCAGGTAATAGACATACCATCTAGACATAGAACTAACATATTAAATATGCCATATTGATGAAAAAATAATTAGATTTTTGACTCCTGTGTGTGAAGTACACAATGGGAGTCTTTGCAGTTAGTGTGTCTGTATGTGTGTCTGTGGGTGTGTGTGGTATCAACGTTGTGACGACTTCAATTTAACTTTACACAGACTTGTGATGACAGGGCCGACATTGTGACAACCCTCACTATTTACATAATTTATTTAATGAAAGAGGAAGGTATGGTTCAATTTATATTAATATTAATGTAATTGTATCATACCTACCCCCATTACTAAACCTAAGCTTTGCAAACATTTCTATGTTAAGTCTTAAGAACCAAATGCTGGTTTTTGATGAAACTTAATGTATAGACGCCTAGGACTAATGTGCAGATTTGATTTGGTTTTGGTAGAAATTCATGTATAATAATTACCTGATTTGCATGGTAATTAGCTAAGAAGTCACAAATTGGATTGTGATGAAACTTGGTAAATAGATGATCTGAAAATCTGTGTATATTAATTACCTAATTTGCATAATTAATCAATTTTTATCTTTTGTATTTCAAGTACTGTACATACTAATTCCTTGTTAGTTTAGTTCTTGTGGATTGTTGTTAGCTATTTGTTTTGTATTCTTGAACTTCTAAATTTCCTATACATTTGGGTATGTTATAAATAATATAACTACCTGTGATACATTTAGTACAATAAACTCATTTTGTCCTAATACTTACATGCCATCTGAAATCTCCTTTGAATTTATCAACCAAATCTCTTGCTATATCACCCATACATGGATAAAGTGTGGCAACAAGACGAGCATAAAATGGTAACAAATCTAACCTGAAAAGAAATAAATGAGACAAGAAATTAAAAAGAATCGGGATTACAAAGCATTTTTTTTTTCCTTTAACAATATATATGTCTTGTATAAAAACCGCTCTCTAGCAACACACTGATGCTGTGAACACGCATAAATAGTGGAAATTAAATTGGAGGCAAAACTTTTATAGAGGAAATCTCAGCCATAATACAGTAATTATAATTTGAGCAAATAAGCAAGAATAGATAGGTTGAAATACCTTGTTCTAGGTACAAGGAATAATGTTTTTACCAGCTTCTTTCTGTTCGACTTGGTATTTAGGTTCATACAGAACTCTACAGCAGCCTATAAGAGAATACATGGTTGTTGTGGCAGATTTGATACAAATATACAGTAAATACATTCCAATACACTTATTCGTCCAACAAACAAGTATGTGAAGTGAACTTTCAAAATCATTTACAAAAAAATCTCACATCGTTTTTTCTGGATTTGTTAAAAATATTTGATGAAAAAACAGGAAAGTATGTCCATCTGGTCAAAAATTTAAAAAAAATCATAGAACAAGCAGCCTATTGGCTGAGATAGCTCCGCTGTTAGCAATGCACATTTCAATTAAAGAACTGAAGACATCATTAGAAAATGAACAATATGTATAGTATCAAAGCAATCAGACTTACAGTTTTTAACAAGAAGTCGAAAATATCACTTTTTACCAAAAATGACAAAAATATTCACCAAAATTAGAGAGCTGAAGATATCATCACAAAATGAACAAATCTGAGAGAGGTCCACATGTAGTACCTATATATGTAATATTAAAGCAATCAGACTATTGGTTTTTTACAAGAAGTCGAAATATCACTTTTTACCAAAAATGACAAAAATATTCACCAAAATTATAGAATCGAAGATATCATCACGAAATGAACAAATCTGAGAAAGGTCTACATGTAGTATCTAAATATGTAATATCAAAGCAATTGAACTTTTGGTTTTTAACAAGAAGTCGAAAATATCACTTTTTACCAAAAATTACAAAAATATTCACCAAAATTAGAGAATTGAAGATACCATCACAAAATGAACAAATCTGAGAGAGGTCCACATGTAGTACCTATATATGTAATATCAAAGCAATCAGACTATTGGTTTTTTACAAGAAGTCGAAAATATCACTTTTTACCAAAAATGACAAAAATATTCACCAAAATTATAGAATCGAAGATATCATCACGAAATGAACAAATCTGAGAAAGGTCTACATGTAGTATCTAAATATGTAATATCAAAGCAATTGAACTTGCGGTTTTTAACAAGAAGTCGAAAATATCACTTTTTACCAAAAATGATAAAAATATTCACCAAAATTAGAGAATTAAAGATATCATTACAAAATGAACAAATCTGAGAGAGGTCCACATGTAGTACCTATATATGTAATATCAAAGCAATTGCGGTTTTTAACAAGAAGTCGAAAATATCACTTTTTACCAAAAATGACAAAAATATTCACCAAAATTAGAGAATTGAAGATATCAACATGAAATGAACAAACCTAAGAGAGGTCTACCCAAGGTACATATACACCAAGTATCAAAGCATTCAGGCTTGTAGTTTTCAAGAAGAAGTCAAAAAAGTAAAACATTGACACGGACGACGATGACGGACGACGACGACGGACAATCACTCATATGATAAGCTCCGCTCGACAAAGTCGACAGCGGAGCTAAAAATACATAATTATGTGGAAAATGTTGCACCAAAATGAGATAAAATATGGCATTCAATTATGTTAATACATATTTCACTCTATCATTACTTGTAAACGCAGCAACAATCTTTACCTGATCAATAAATTCCCTATTAACACAGGTTGGTAACTTTTGTAGGAATGCTTCAAGAAGAATTTTCATATTCATGTTGCCAGTGGTTTCCTCTTCCTCAATGTCTGTGCAGCAATGAAAAAAGACAATATTTTTTTCTTACAATGTAACTGTATGTGAGGAACAGTGGAATATAAAAGCATACAACCTTTTCACCACCAGACTTTCTTGCCAAATTTTTTCTGCACTTTTTTCTAATTTTGGAGCCAACAGACAAGATTTGAGTCAATTTTCAGTTTTTACTTGAACAATTTGGCTATTTATGTACCAATCTTCTGAAGGAAAGTGCAGACTATAAACAGAACTATTTTGTGGATTTGTGATGCAAAGAGGGAACTGGTGGTGAAAAGGTTAAAACAGTGCATTCTTATGACAAGTCAAATATATATGTATCATGTATTTTATATAATAAACACATTACTGATAGCACAATAAATTACATCTGAAAATATATATTTAATACCTTCCAATTCTGCAGTATACTCCAAATCTTCCATTATTTTTTTTTCTTCTTCATATGCTGCAATAACTTCTTTTTGTGCCTCTTCTTCATCATCATCTTCAGTCTCAGTATCAGTGATGTCCAGATCATTCAATTCTGTGAATGTAATTTGTTAACACATTGAAGACAACACAAATTTTTATTCTATACGTTTATTTTATAAACAGCATATATTTCTATAGTTATGAATGTATTATTAGCATTTTGGTACATCATGGAGGCATGAATGGTTATTGCCTTGATGCCCAATGAGACTGCCTTACTTCCATTCTATGTTCTCTATATTATTCCTATGTACCGTACTAAGGTCATTTTTATAAATTTTGGCCTTGAAAATAGGTGCTCTCTCAACTCTGTTCAAACCCTGTTGTTGCATCGGTTGATTGATTTTGATAATCTGCATACATGTCTCCCGTACACATATTCATGCTGCTGATGCTCATAAGAACAAGTATTTATCATTTCATCAAAATCATATACCGGACAGTGTATGCGCTTACAAAAATGACAGGGTGTCTATGGCCTATATTTTTGGTGATCCAGGTGAACAATACATGCCACTGTTGGTTTACATGCGCTCCTATTGGAGATGTGCTTCTAATAGAGCAAATATGGTACATATTATGAGTAAGTACTGTAAAATACTTAATTTTTCGCTTTAAATTAATTTTCACTGAAGGAATGATTCAGTGAAAATAAAATCCAGCGAACATACCTTTTTTCCTATATTTCACATTCAACTCAACAAAATCAGTGAAAACAAAACATCCAAAATGTTTTCAGCAAAAATACAGCAATCAAAAAGCTCAAAATATATACTCCCAGTATGTATCGGTAGATGGAAGTTAAGACTTCATAAAACTACAGTATGTAGGAGTCTGATGTTGGGTTTATCAATCTTCTTATGTATGACACCAAAGCATTCAACTATTGGCTACAGATCACCAAAACACAATATACAAATTCTTACCTTCTTCTTCTGTATCTTCAGCCAATTCAGCAACCTTTTCACTGTCTTTAAATAATATCTGATGGTACATAAACAAGAATAAGAAACTATAAAAGAGGCACCTCCATGAAATGAAATGGTAATATAAAGCTAATGACAAATTTAGATGCATTAGCAGAATTTCTCTATCTCAATAAAGTTACAAGATACTGTTGTGAGTGAAACTGAAAATCAACTTCTTCAAAATTTCAATACAATATGGCGTACTCTCATACAGGAAATGTGCGATAGTTTTGATCCCACAGTAAAATGCAATCTCTATGGCTTAAATTCAGCTTAAAATGTATTGAACTCAATTATTCAAACAAAATAATATATGTATGCAATAGTTACCCCAGGAACAAAAGCTTTCAGATCCACAAGGTTTTCATAGAAAGACTTTGCATCTTCATCTTCCCATAGAGATGTATCCCAATCAAATTCCACAGATAAATTATATGGGTTAAATACATCAATCCCCATCACTCCATCCAGTTTGGCATTTTCTGAAAATTTATAAAATTGTTGGGAAAGAAAACATATTTGGTATAAATTACACCTCAGATGTTAACCTACTATAAACAAAATTTTGCTCACTGTGT